AACAATTACCGAAATTACTAATTATTATTAACTATTATTAACTAATTACTAATTGTTTTATTATTAACTAGCAACTCAATAGTCCCATCACTATGTATATTGGTCATAACTAAAATTAATAAAAATCTAAACCTCAAATCTTTCCAAAAATATGATAGTATGAGAAATCAGTGCTATGATCGGTTATGCTATTTGTTAAGGGTTTATCATAATTAAAATTATTAAATATCAAAAGTCTATCCAAAAATGTAATAGTATGTGAAATATACAACCATAATCAGGTTACGGGCTATGGTATTTAATTACAACAAGTTGGATAAATTTGGTCATATGCATACTATGCAATTATGAAATAAAAATTCTGACAGGTTTGCAGCGCAGCAGAATTTTTAAAAGACAATTAATATTAGGGTTAGAATCAGGGTTAGAAATTAAAGGGAGGTAGTTTATTAGTAAAATTGCTCAACGAATGCTTTTTGTTAGAGCACTAAAGGTCGTTTCTTATTTGAATTTTTGTGAAATAAACATCTTTTGTCAAAATGAACAGTAGCTTTTAAATTTTCTGATCATATTACGTTATACATGAACTTTAAAATCTGATTTGTAGTTCAGGAAATCAGCGCCACAAACCTGTTCTGGATTTTTTTTTATGTGCTACCCCGTGGCGAAGCCATGGGTTGAAAGCTAGTAGTCTTTATTTCACTGTTGTACATCAGGTGGTCTTTAGCCGATGATTGACAGATTCACGCTAGTCCTATTTTAGCATACGATAATCCAATTTCCGTTGCTTCTATTTATGATATATGTTAATTGGTAGGGAAAGGCGTTAGGATTGTTTAGCTAGTCGAGACTTTAATTACATCATTGATTATTGAAACTGCGCAAGCTTTATCAATGACTTCAATGATATTGCGCCTTAGATAGATCCCCCTGACATTAAAGGAAATTCATTCCACGTCTTTTGTCTTGGCTGCGGAACATTCTTAATGTATATGAACACCTCATGTTCGCTTTGCTTGTCAGTAGGTTTTGCTTGTAGGTTAGACTTAAAGGTTTGACCGGGTTCCAAATTTTTCATCTCGATCATTAATCAGAATATGCCTTGTTCAAAATTGCTGCCACTGTTGCCGGATGTGTTCGAATATATTTGTAGAACGCGTCTGATGACCATCTACCTATCCTTTGGATCAATGGTAGCTGTACGCCTCGTAGCACCAATTCAGTCGCACCTCCCGCCCTAAAGCTATGACCTGCTACATCGGCTCCGGGTAACAGTGACTTGAGGTTATTTATAAACCAGTTTTTTGTGGCTAGACTCCCGTTAGATTTAATGAACAGCGTGTCTTTCCTTGGTGCATACCATGAATTGGTTCTGAGGACTATGAATGCTTTGAGTGCATTAATTGGGCACAGTGCGTCGTTTGTTGAGTTTATGATCAGAATTGGGCGTTCCACTATCTTATGGTTCTTTGTCCTGGGTAGCTGAATGGTTGCGAATGTATTACCGCCTGTCCTGTCGAACCTTACTGCCTGCACTGTAGGTACCTTTGTTGTGTCTTGTTGTGATTTGGGTAAAAGTTCTCCTAATCGGGCCAAACCGTAGAATGCTACCAATGCGATTGCCCAAAACATTCGATTGTCAGGTTCCTGCAGGTTCAGTTTCGTTTTCACATAGTGTAACTGGTCCCGTGTAATGTGTTCCTTTTGCTGTGTTGGTTTGAAGGTATGATTATCCTCTATTGTCTTTAGCATTTGTTTTATCAATGGGTCATAGCGTATTGCATTCCAATCCACATGATTCATCGTGTGGTGATATTTCAGGGCAGACAAGTATGAGAGAATAGTTTGCGGTGCCACTTTGGGGTGTAAATGTGTTATGAATTTGGAGAGGTTTTCTTTTGAAATTGGCCATATGGTCTTGATATCGTTAAGCCACTTATTGCTTGTAGCTAGATTCTCATATCGTTTGATAATTGTTGTGTATGTTTTGT